AGAGAGAGAGAGAGAGAGAGAGAGAGAGGGAGGGAGGGAGGAAGAGGGGGATATGCATCGTCGAAGCGAGAAAATCTTCACCTGAGCCTGAGACTCTATCTCGAAGAACGATAATGATGAAAATTCTGGCGAGGTGACTGAATGATCGTTGCTTCCTCTCTCCCTCTCCACTCTTTCACTCGTCCGAATTAGTGATCCAGATATTTGGATTCGCGTTTGTTAACGACGAATGGAACATAATTATTTAGGCTGTGATTTTTTTCAATGGAGGTTCGGAGGTCATTTACTAAACGAGATGCGGAACGAGGGATGGAAGAGAGAAGGAAAGAAAGGAAAGGAAGGAAGGAGGGGAAAAAAGAGGGGGAAAAAAAGCACGAGCGGGAGGAAGAGTCTAAAACAAACGGAAAATCAATAATGGGGCACAAGCGTCGCGCTAAATGCTCGAGGACCGAGAAGCAAAACCGCGATAATACCGTCAGTGAAAACACCGCCTGAAGGAGGAAGGATTAACGTCTTAACCGTGCGAGGTACGCGCCAAAAGAGGGCAGCGGGCGAAACGCGAACTAGCTCCGTGTCCACGGGCAGGATTTGTTTAATCGCTCGGATGATTCGTACACGATTTTGTCCACCGAGTTTTATTAGAGGTTAAGTTTAATTGAGTATAATTATGTGCGCGTTTAATTAGACGCTCTCTATCTCTATCTCATATTTCTGGAAAAGAGAGAGAGAGAGAGAGAGAAAGGAGAATCTCGTTAAGTTTATCGTTTATGAGAAAAGAGGAAGGTTTCATTTTGAGATAAAGAATAAAAGAAGAGAAGAATACAAGGATACGATGTATAATTGGCCGTTGACATCGCGATAGATACACAGACGCATACTGGCTTCGTAACACGGTGCTACGTATACACTATATACGTATGCCAAAGTTATCGAGCTTATTATCTTCAAAGTTGGCCGAAATTTCGTAACGTCTATTGGGAAATTTAATCTAGAAGATAGGAATCGATATCGGTAAGTCGAGGAACATTATTGAATTTCGTTGAAACATTTGGAAAATATTAAAACGAACACACACACATATATATATATATAATCTTCCGCGTGGAAAGAATATTGTCGACAGGATCGGCTCTCATTTACACGGAACGGTAACAAAACATATCGACATCTCGTTTATTTCTATGAGAACACGATGTTTTAATATCGATGCCGGTGAAATAACTTAGTTTACTCGTCCAAGTTTCAAGGGGAGGGGATACGTGCGATTGCTATACTTACCAGGCAAGTGATAGGCGCGAGCACGACCCAGCTGAGCCACCAGTATCTGCGGAGCAAAAGGTTGAACCGCATTTGCATCTCGGCTATGTTACGCAGGAATTTGTTGCACCCGTAACACCAGCCTACCACGCCGACCTCGGCAATGCCGATCAATAGTATCGCCCAAGAAGCGGTGTTCCAGTCCATCAGCGTGAACAGGTAAATACCTCCGTCGAACACCATCGGTATGGCGAGGAACCAGCAAGTGACGCATATACCCAACACGACCAGCCTCTCCCGTTTTCGTAAATCCGGCCGGAGGTCCAATATGGCGGTGTTTATCGCCTGCACGCCTGCGAACTGTGCGCGTATCGTAAAAAGCAACGACCGACTCCGACTGTACTGTGTGTGCCTCCTCCTCCTCTGCGTTACCCGAGATTCGATGCTCGCCCGCCGGGGATTCTCTCGTTACCCCCTTTCTCTTTTTATATCCCTTCCTCCCCCCTCTCTCCCTTTTTTTGACGCCGTCCGTCTTAATTACCCTTCAACCCTAGAAAGCGAGGAGGAGGAGGAAAGACACAGGGGAGGGTTGGACGCGTTGCGTGTGTGGAAAACAAAGGGGCCTTTCTTTTTTCTTTTTTTTTTTCGTCCCCTTTCTCCATCCTTCGTCTCGCTCGTTTACCTTTCCACGCTCTCTCGTTCGAAGGAGAAAAGGGGGAGGAGACGAGGACAAGTAGAAAGGTGTGGATTTCAGTGGGACGGCAAACCATAACTCTTTCCATGATATACGAGCCTCGAGGCGGGAGAGACGGGGGGAGAGAGAGAGAGAGACGCGATGCAAAAGTAACACGGCACGATCGTCCGGGGCTACTTGGGAGCAGCACATTTTCACCGCACAGCTCCTCTTTTGACGGATACAGGGACTGGCGTTCCGGTTCTACGAGCCACTTGAATAGCGCCTTCTTAGCCGGCTCGGTAAGACGAAAAATTTTTTTCCCCCCTCCTCCTCTTCTCGCGCGCTTGCCAACGCGCCGTCCAAGGAACAAGGCCGTACTTTAAACTTTAAACAACATGGAAATACGATGCTCTTCATTTTCAAAAGTCTTCACGCTTCTCTACCCCCGTGCCCTTTTCCTTTTCGTCTCTTTCATACTTTTCCCTTCCTCTCTCTCTCTCTCTCTCTCTGTCTTTCCCCCGCAGAGCGCTCTCTTTAACTTTGAAAACCGCTTCTCCATTCTTTTAAAAGAAATTCTTCAAAAAAAAAAAAAAAGAAAAACTCGCAAAAAGAGCACTCGCCTCGATTATAATCTCAACGATCTCAACCCGATCCCTCCTTATCCCATTGTTCCAATCGTTTTATCGTTCACTTACTTGGCTCCCGATACCCAGGATGAACAGCATGACGAAGAAGAGGACGGCCCACACGTTGGGCAACGGCATCCGCACCACCGCTTCCGGATACGCGATGAACGCAAGCCCCGCTCCACTCTGTATCACATCCTCGACCGAAACCCCCATTTGGTGGGCGAGGAATCCCATGATCGAGAAGATGACGAAACCGGCGAAAATCGACGTGGCTAGGTTCGTGAAACTTACGAATATCGCGTCTCTAAAAAAGATGAATGAAAGAGGGGAGGAGGGGGAAAAAAAGAAAAAGAAAGACCAAAACTTCGACACCTCCCCCTCCCCCGTTTTCCTTTGTTTCCAAAAAAAAAAACAAAATCCGTCCCTGTCGGTTCCCTAGCCAAAACGAAACTCTATATATTTCGTTCGAGCCGCGATAAAAGCTCTATCTGCGATCGACGATGGTGTTTTCTTTTTTTTTTTTTTTTTTTTTACACGACGATCCGAATTTCCAAGATCGTCGGATTCCTCGAAAGGGGAGTGTAAATAGGGTTAGTTGAAGATGACGAAAGGACGAAAGGAAGGACGAAAGGGAGGGAGGAGCAATTAATAATCGCGCGGGGTAAAAGTTGGCGTGGCAAGTTATATTCCGCCGCTGCTTGCTCATTCGACTTGCGTCGCGCTGATATAATTTATACGCGCGCGCGATGCAACGTGCAACGAATTGTATCTGACTTCTCGGCAGCCAAGTTCAACGCCGGATAATCATGCTAATTACGACTTTCCGCTATATTTCGAGCACGTGAACGCCCCCCGGCTCAACTGAACCGAGCTGCGAGTGCATCCGGAGTTGCGGAGGTAACGCGATCCACCCTCGCGATCGAGGCAAGACCGCGAATTATTCTCTAGCTTGGTTCAGCCTCGTCTCGTTTTTCTTTTCGGACGACGTTCGAATTACGATATAATTTTCGGGACTCGGGAGGGGGAGGTCGCCGATATTCGAAGAACGAAAAATGCTGTGTTATATATTTGATGAGATATGTTAATTGGCGGAAGATTTCAATTGGACGGCCTTGCAATTTTATTTTTGAATGGTAATAGATCGTAGTAGATACCGATCGAATTTCTTCTCGTAAAAGATTTGTGATATTTTCCGATTTTCTTTTTTTTTTTTTTTTACCTTGTGACAATTGTTGTTGAAGTTGCTGTAGCTCGAGAGCGTGATCAGGGAACCGCAACCGATACCGAGGGAATAGAAAACTTGGGAGGCGGCATCCGCCCAGACACTGGTTGATTGCAAGGTGGACCATTTTGGCATGATGAACCAAAGAGAGCCGTCGAGGGCACCTTCCAACGTCACGCCTGCACGTTTTTATTATTATTAAGTAATTATTATTGTTATCGTTATTATTCGTTCGTTCGTTCGTTAAAAAGTTACGTTGCTCTTTAAACTCGAAATTAAATTCACGAGACACGAGAAAGTGTTAATACGCGAAAATGAAAAACGTATCCGGGGAATACGGATCGCCAGACGCAAGTCTTGCCCCTGTAATATTTAAACTCGATAAGCTGTATATACGTTTAAACGTATGTACCAGCAAAATATATATATATATATTTTTCTAATATTTCGAAGCGTTATAATTTTGAGGTAAGGAAAAAAAAAAAAGGAAAATGTATACACAAAGTTTTATACCGTAAATGCTTTATAAAGTTAGAAGTTGAATATTGAGTGCACACCTGAAATACCGGAGAAGCGAGTAATGAATTTTACATTACGGGGCGCGAGAGAGATAGGCGAGATAGATGTTTAACTTATTTACATTTACTCGGTTCTTTTTTTCTTCTTTCTCTCCTTTTTTTCACAAATGTAAATATGCGATTAATTTCGACTTCCGTTTCCTTCGCGGCACATCTTTCACCGGTGTATAAGCACGTGTACACGTGGTAGGTTTATTCGGCTGGTAGGACGAGCAGCGAAATTCACAAAGTTCAAGGGGAGAATTAATTAAAATTCGACGTAAATAATGGGACAGATAACGAATCCGCGACGAATTCGAACGTTAACGTTAGTTTTCGCAGAAGGGCTCGCTAATTAATATTTATCGATCGATCGTTAATCCCGCTGCTGTTTAACGTTTCGGCGGGATATAATATCAAAGTTTCTAACTTTGATTTTTAATTTAGCGTTGCAAGTTTAATGCCGTGCGAAAATATATCTCGTTTAACGTTATCAATACGTTTTTAATATTCATAAATTGTCAATTATCGTGTCGAAGAATTTTAATTATAAATCTTCGCGTATGGGAAATACGTGATATCGTTCGTCGCATCGCTCCCGAACGTTAACAATTAATATATTTTTAATTCAATGACAATTCATCGACTGTAATATTCCGATTCGTCGAATAGTTATTTATTACGCGCTTAATGAATATGTCCGATAATTGAAGAACAACTGTTTTCCAACGATTTATAAATTAATAACACGTTTCCAAATAATCGTTTGTATTCCAAACTGTGATCGAACACATTTCCGTTATTGCGCTATTACTTTTTATAACTGTGATGCGCGTTTACTCTCCTTCTTCGAACAAGTCGAATAATTTTTTTTTTTCGCCGATCTCTCTTTTTGGTCGAGGATAGAAAAAAAAAAGGAAAAACTACAATCGCGGGTGGAATTCGACGAGGAATTATATTATTTCATCCCGGTTCTTACCTCGTATCAGCAACGCTATAAGCATGACGTAGGGGAAAAGGGCGGTGAAGTAGACGATTTTTCCAATGGATTGGACGCCACGCATCAGACACAAGAAGCAGATTATCCAAGCGAGGGTCAGACATCCTAACAATTCCCATCTCACGCCTCCGAAGTGTTCCCACGTAGCTCCTCGTATACCGAGCACATAGTCGCTAGATTCGATAATATCTATTCGTGATTACGCATTTTTTTCTTTTTTCTTTTTTTTTCATCTTTCCTAGTATCAGTAATTATCAGTAATTAGACCGAACGAAAAACCAATTTGATTTAATTTAATACACGAGACGCGAAGGTAGGAAAGAATAGTTTGGAATTGGAATTTGGTTGAAAATTCATTACGATTGTAGATAGTTTCGACGACGTACTTGAAATATTCCTCCGACGAAAGGATCCGTGTGTAAAGGTTTCGAAGGAGTTCCACTTTGTCAGCTTTGAAACAATGCGTGACGTTCCCATCGTCGAAATCGAAGCTCCGGCATACGTGGCTGGCCGATATACAACTCTTGTTGTAAAATATCGTTTCCGGATCGTCCGTTTGACATTGAATCTCTTGAAGCCCGCTGTAACAATCTGCGCGAGTCGGCATTACGGCTTTATGCCCCATATCCAATATCGTTGCACGATAATTAGGAAACATCAAAGGCTTTCAAAGGCTATCGTTGATTGAAACGAAATAGCTGTCGTTTACAGAATACGATGCGTCGTAGGGACCCAACGTATGGCTCGATATTGCGACCTCGATGTATACGCGTTATATACACACACACGCGCGCGGGCGCGCTATGCATACACGCGTGTAGTATATCCCACGTTGCTACTTCGTTACCTCGATCGACCAGAGACAATTACGCTACCGCTTTGTTCCTCTCCTCCGTATTTATTATTAAAGAGCAATTTATTTATCTATTTATTTATTTTTATCTCCACCGCAGGGATTTTCGGTTTTCGACCGAGAGAATACCACGATCGTTCGTTCGTTCAATGAGACACGCGTTGAAAAAGAGTATACAACGCGAATAAACCGCGACTTACCGACTTATGGTGAAGTAGAGGCGAGGAGAATGCGGTGTGGAAAATTAATTTATCGGCGATCTTTAAATTAATATCCTATTAGTTTTATAAGAAGATTTTGACGCGGAGTAATTACCGAGTCAACAACGAATTGTCGAGCAAGCGACGAAAACGAAAATGATCGAGTTGGATCAAAAGATTTGACGAGCTTTGAACGAGTTACCAACGAGGTACACCGATGTCAAGCTTGGGATGGAATTATACATCGTAACCTGATACTCGAGAGAGGCTTGTCGATATATAGGCTTTTCGGCTCTATACGTAATAGTGAAACAGTAGCTGTAATTCGGCTGGGATCGTGACCAAACCCGCTCCATTCCAGTATAAATTGACCTTTATTGATCTTAACGGCCAAGTTTCCGGGTGTCCATCCATTCACGCGTCACAATTGCAATTTACGAAAATAATTCGAAAAAGGTTTTTCGAACGATTAACGGTGCGAATAGACGCCGTTAAATTTTTTCCTCCACGCTAATACGTAAATTTATCAAACGGGAAAAACTTAAGGTTCGTTAATGAGAAAAATAATAATTCGTTGCTCGTTCAGCCTGCTATACGATCAGAAATATCCTGCACGATTACATTCGAACGGTTAATTTATTATTATATATTGTAACGTATTATTTTGCGATTTTGCATCCTACCAAACTATACAATAATTTACATTTTCCTACATTCTATACAACGATAAAATGATTTCAAATTTATAGCGCGACAATGTTGACCGCAATGCGGTGCTTCCATTTCGAAACAATGATATTGTTGTTACTCTCTCGCAATTTCTTCAATTAGTGATTTATTACGTCCAATTTGGTGGAAATTTCGCAAATTTCGAAAATAATAAAAAAACACGATAATTTACGAAACATGCTGGACAAGGTGGGAGGAAAAAAAATAAAAAAATAAAAAATAGAAAAGTAAAAAAAGAATGCTAATCTACGTGGAAAATCCACGTCAAACGATCCTGGAACGATTGTTTCGATGCGATCGGAAAAGTGTCGAATCGTCGATACGTGATAAAAATGGATTCTTTATATAACGATATCTGTATCGATGTAGGTGATCGGTGGTCGGCGGTCAGTGGTCGCGTCGATGGCCGTCTGCCGATGAAACTTGTAATAAATTAAAAATAAACTAGGCTTGGCTTCGTGTTGTATCGAAGAGAAGATCTGTTTTTCGTTCTTCGCGTCTCTTAAATAACGAATCCAAAGGATCGCATAATTTATACTTCTCGAGACTCGCTTGAGGATCGATTTTTCTTCGTTAAATGTTCGGTTTTTTTTTCACAAAGCGGTGGAACAAACGTCCACTGCACGGTGAAATGGGAAATGAGCGATACGAGGGTATCGATAGATCTCGAATTTTCACGTATAACGCACGGAACGGGAAAAGAGTTTTAATCCAAAGTTCAACAATTAAAACTGTCGAAACAATTTAGCGGAGAAATTTTTTGGTCAATCCTAGTTTCCCACCGATCGCGATCCCATCGTTATTTCTAGAATCATAGTTCTACGGGCGGAAATTTCGTATTTTTTCCTGGTTCGGAGATGGAAATTTTTAAATGCAATGGAAATTGTTCGGGAGGGGAAAAAATAAAATCATTTGAAAAAAATTTACGTTACCTTGGATCGAGAGAAAAAAAAAAAGGAAAAAGAAAAAAAAATAGATACAAAATTTTCGATGAGTCGATATACGAGGTTCGATAATTAAATAACAGATAAAAAAATCAATTTGATCGTTGTTGATGAAAAAAATGAATCGTTGGATATCTCTTTTTTAGAATTAGAAATTTCACGAATTAATTATTACGCGTTTAACTAAAAATTGATCGTTCTCCTTGTTGCTGTTATTGTTGTTGTTGTTGCGAATCTCCTCCCTCCCGTTTATGTTTATTTATTTTCTCGCCCTCCTCTGTATCGTTGGAATTTAATACGTGGTAATGCGTTATATTATCCGTATACGAAATAATTTCGGAAATCAATAAGAAGGAAGTGATAACGCGCGCAACGTTGTTATCCCCGTTGCGAAATATTATATGCCGATAATTCCCTCCCTCCCTCCTTCTCTCTCTCTCTCTCTCTCTCTCTCTCCTCTTCATCGAAACCGAACATCGAAACCGATCAATGATCGAAGCCCGATTCGAGCTTTTCGAAAGGCAAGAAAGCGAAATAAAAAATTCGAGGATCGTGTTATTTTATTAGCGTTTATTAGGAGGAAAAGAAACGTTGGTAGCATAGCGATAAATCGCCACGAGCGAAAGGGGAGACGCGTATATAAAGCTGCCTCGCAACGATACGAGGGGAGGGGAGAATATTTTCTCCCGCGCGTGGAGAAATTGAATTTCGAAGGAACGGGCCGTTCGTCATTCGATCGTTTAAAACGGTTCTACGACCGCTTGGGGGAGGGGGGGGAGGGAAGGGGGTTTTATGGAGGCGATAAAATACGCGTATGGCGCGGTTACGCTACGTTAAATAACAAGTTGAGCATCCTCATCCGCGAGAAGAGGGGGTTTTCTAAAATTTAAACGCGCGAGCAAGGTGATGGCCGGTTATTTGTTATTTTATCGGTGTACTTACGGTTCGTGTTGAAATCGTTGTCGCAGTAGGCCCAACTGAGCTTCGGCAGGAACGAGAGGAACGTGTAGAAGAGTGTCCAGGCAACGATCACCATGTAGTAGACCATTACGAGCAAAATGACGACCAGGGTGCAATAACCGAGGCCCTCGAGTGCCGGCGCCATACGTTTGAACGCCTCGTTAGGGCCGAGCCCGGAATACTGTCCAACGGCCAGTTCCAAAAAAAATATCGGTAATCCCATGGTTATCAGCATTAAAACGAACGGAATTATAAAAGCACCTGGAACCAGACCACAACACGACTAGGCGTCTACTCTGATAATCTATATAGAGGAGGTAGGAAAGAATTGTACGCGGTGTTGCATAGTTTATTTCGATCGAGCGAAAAGCGAAAAAAAGTTCGAACGATAAAAAACGATGGGGGGGAATGACTTTTCCCCTATCGTATAATTTTTTAAATTACGCGACGAACGCGTAAAATTTTGAAAATAACCTTTACATCGTCGCGTTTACTTTTAATTCGCGCTTCGTATCGTTTGTTGCTCGCGTTATTACACAACGAGAAAAGGGTAATAAAAGAAAGAAAGAAAAAAAAACAGGGAACAATCGTGCCTCGAATCTGATCCGTTCTATAATAAAGAGGAATAATTTAACCATGCGGTTAAATGTGATTTTAACAGCATTAATTTTTCACGCGCGAGTCTCGCGCGTTCCTGTTACGTTGTCAACCGTTGGCAAACTAGCTTGTCTAATCTAACCAACGAAAAGAAACGGGACGACGACGTTAAACGTGTATTAATTGAAATTATCTTCCTCAATTAAAACGAGATATTCTCGATCAATCTCCGGTTTTACGCTCGCTATCGAGTGACGAAACAAACCGAATAAATGTATATACATACACGCGCGCGAAAAAATAGAGTGGATCTATCATGGGGTTCGAACGGGTACTGATTAAAAGTGTTACCGTTTCCCCGGTGCTCTGATTAACGCGACAAAATACAAAGAGAGAAAGCGGTTAAAAATAGCCGGGTGGCGATACTCCCTTTGGTCGTCTTTCGTTCAGACCGCAGGCGAAGAACAATGAAGAGAGCCGAGGGCCACGTAAACGAAACGAGAAAAGAACAAAACGACGAGAGTGGAGGTAAAATAGAATAATTAAAACCCAAGTGTTTGGGATATGTATATAGTACGGTAGGCCAACCTTTCTCTCTCTCTCTCTCTCTCTCTCTCGGTATTTTGCAAATAAACCCGGCCTAGAGCCGAGCGAGAGGAAACAGGAGAAGGAGAGTAAAAGAGAGAGAGAGAGAGAGATTATATCAACAGGCACAAGCGCGCCCGCGCACACAGTCGGGAAAGATTTATTAAATTTGCCGAACGCTCGGTCACGAGCTGCCAAACTACGCTTAATTATTCGAATTAGCCGCTTCGTCACGTCAACCACCACGCACGTACGCGGGCGGCGTGTCGCGCGAGCGACTCTGCGCTTCCCTTTTCCCGCCCCCCACTCCTCCCCTCCTCCTCCGCCCGGGCTCCCCTCCCCTTTCCCCTCCCTTGTCAGATTTGTTCTTTTTCCGCGAAAACGAGCGGGCACAAGGATAAATCATCCCGCGTAATCCAGTAGTTCGTTTGCCAGCCCGTGACCGTCTCTGTTTAGAGAGCAGCACGAACAGACCTTCCTCCTCCCGCCCCCCCCCCCCGCATGGAAAAATCGCTCCGTGCAAGCAAGCTCCGCCGTGCGCTAGGCTGCGCGCCATCCGTACCATACGTATATACGTATATACATATATATGTATATATATGTACATATACATACGTACCACCGCCATTACGATATACAAGGTAAGGGAAACGCCAAACATTGCCAATGCCAACGGCATACCCGATGCAGGATAGAACAAACTCGATGGGATTGGCCCAGCTACCACGTTCGGGATCCTGCTCCAGCTCCACCAAGGCACCGCCGACTCCGAGAGAAACCCTCTTCCTCTGCCAATAACACGGGTTACCTTATATTTGCATCGTATAAATCATCGGCAACGGACGACGAGTTTGGACGGAGGGAGGGAGAAACAGAGGGAGGGAAAGAGAGAGAGAGAGAGAGAGAGAGAGAGAAGAAGAAGAAGAGAA